GAAGCGAGCGGCCGCAGGGCGAGCTCCGGGCTGCCCCCTGGCGCCCGCCTCCCGCCGCGCACCGGGGGGCCCGAGGCTGAAGCGCAAAGCCGGAGTTGGAGCTCATCCGGGCTTCCAGCCCGGGTGCACCGACCCGTCTGCTCTTCTGGGTCTTCTCTCCGAGCGGGTGGGGACGATGATGTGTTGACCTACTGCTGTTTTAGTGCGGACGCCCAGCCTGGTGCTGGGTACGGTGGAGAGGAGCTGTAAGATCTAGATCCTTCAAAGAGCTCCCAGTCATGGCAAATGATCGTTTCCAAAGCCTGGTCCTCAGACCAGAAGCTGATGCTTCCCATCTCCAGGGAAATTGTTAGAAATGTACGTTCTCACCTGAAATTTTCACAATGTTATAAACCAATGTTACTGCAATAAACAAAAAATTTTAAAAAAAAATGTGCGTTCTCGGCTCCATCCCAGACCTGGGGGTGGGGTCCAGCAGCCTGCTTTAACCAGGCCGCCGGGTGATGATGCCACGGAAGGTGGAGAACCACTGTGGAGGGGAGACTCAGGGGCTTAGCCCAGAGCGGGAAAGCTGAGCCTCCGGACTTCAGGGCCGGCGGGCAGCAACGTGGGCAAGCCCAGAGGAGGAGGACTGTCTGCAAAGGGAAGCTAGAAGGCCTCAACGTGTCTCACCGGCGTTGGTACTTGGTGGAAATTGAGGGGAAGGTTGCGGCGGTGGAAGTCAAGCATAGGATTATATAACTTTGTGTTTGTTTACATCAGAAGTGTAATCTGCTTCTACACGGACACGTTTTCCAAGTTCGGAATCAAGAGAATAACACGATGTGAGTTAAAAAGCCAAGCCTATGCTGGTAATCCAAACAATGAAAATTAAAATAACTGGAAGCTACTTGCCTGTCAGACTGGCCGAGACCAAAGAGAATGGTAATGCCTACTGTTGATGCACAGAATCTAAAAGTTTCCGCACACCCATACGTGAGTGTCAATTTGTCTAATCTGTACTAATTCCTCGTATGTATAAAGGGTCCTAGCAGATCTCATTTCAAGGAATTTATCATGTAGAAATAATTGAATACGTGTGCAAGATATGTGTACAAGAGATGTCACTGGTGTTGTTGATAAAGGATGTTTATAGGAGAAAAAAGAAACTTAAATGTTTAACAATAGGGCTTTCTGAAAGAAATTATATTATATCCATGAACCATTAAAAATGATGCTGTACAATGGGTACAGAGTTTCAGTTTGAGGAGATAACGTTCAGGGTGGATGGCGGTGATGATTGCGAAACGATGTGAATGCATGTGGTGCCACTTAAAAACGATTAAAACGGTAAATTTTACCACGATAAAGAAAAAATGATGCTGGGGCCGGCACCCTGGCATAGTGGTTAAGTTCTGTGTGCTCCACTTCTGCAGCCCGGGCTGGGATCCCGGGTGCAGACCTACACCACTCATGGGCCGGCCCGTGGCTGCTTCCTACATACAAAATAGAGGAAGATGGGCACAGATGTTAGCTCAGGGTGAATCCTCCTCAAGCAAAAAGAGGAAGATTGGCAACAGTCGTTAGCTCAGGGCCAGTCTTCCTCAGCAAAAAATTTTAAAAAAATAAAATAATACTGTAGATCTGTATGTATTGACATGAGAGGATAGTCATAATAATTCATAATAATTCATAACATATGGTAAGGGTGGGAAAACAATCAAATTTTTAAAAATATAACTGATTATAAATGTATATAAATGTGTACATAAAAATGGGTATATAAATGTGTATATATGTGTATATGTGTGTATAAAAATGTGTATATATAAATGTATGTATATCAATGTGTATATATAAATGTATCTATAAACGTGTATATATGAATGTGTATATAAATGTGTACATACAAATGTATATATATCAATGTATATATATGATGTCTATATATCAATGTATAGCTATATCAATGTATATTTATAAATGTATATATATCGATGTATATATAAATGTATATATAAAAATGTATATATAAAAAATACATATTATACATATGTATATGTATAAATATATGTATAAATGTGTATATTAATGTGTATATCAAAGTATATATCAATGTATATATAAATGTATATACCAATGTGTATATATATGTTTAAATAAATGTGTATATATAAATGTGTATATAAATGTATGTATTTAAATGTATATATAAATGTATATCTCTATGGCATATCCATTCCAACTAGGATTTCAAGATGCAATATCCCCTATTATAGAGGAACTTCACTTCCACGATCACACATTAATAGTCTTCTTAATTAGTTCTTTAGTACTATATATTATTTTACTTATACTAACAACCAAATTAACCCATACAAGTACTATAGACACCCAAGAAGTAGTAACTTTTTGAACTCTCTTGCCAGCTATTATCCTAATTCTAACTGCCCTACCATCTCTATGAATCCTCTATATGATAGATGAAATCAATAATCCCTCCTTAACCATCAAAACCATAGGCCATCAATGATATCAAAGTTATGAGTATACAGACTATGAAGATTTAAGCTTTGACTCCTACATAATCCCTATGTCAGATCTAAAGCCAGGAGAATTGCGACTTCTAGAAGTTGATAACCAAGTAGTCCTACCTATAGAAATAACAATCCGAATATTAATTTCATCCAAAGATGTCCTACACTCATGAGCTGTTCCCTCTTTAGGCCTAAAAACAGATGCTATCCCAGGACGCCTAAAACAAACAACTCTTTTATCTACATGACTAGGATTATACTGTGGACAGTGCTTAGAAATTTGCAGATCAAACCACAGCTTTATAACTATTGTTCTTGAATTAGATTAAAATACTTTGAAAAATGATCTGTATCAATATTGTAAAATCATTAGAGAAGCTATACAGCATTAACCTTTAAAGTTAAAGATTGAGAGTTTAAGTCTCTCCTTAATGATATGCCACAACTAGATACATCAACATGATTTATTACCATTATATCAATAATCATTACACTATTTATTGTATTTCAACTAAAAATCTCAAAACATCCTTCCCTCTCAAACCCAGAACTAAAAATAACTAAATCACCCAAACACATCACCCCTTGAGAATCAAAATGAACGAAAATTTATTCGCCTCTTTCACTACCCCAACAATAGTAGGTCTACCTATTGATTGTTGTCTTAATTGTTGTATTCCCAAGCATTATATTCCCTTCATCTAACTGGCTAATCAACAACTGCTTGATCTGCATTCAACAATGATTAATCCAACTTACATCAAAACAACTAATGTCTGTCCACAATCACAAAAGACAAACCTGAACCCTCATACTTAGATCACTTATCCTATTTATTGGTTCAACTAATTTATTAGCCCTACTACCACACTCATTCACACCTATCACACAACTATCAATAAATCTGGGCATTGCTATTCCCCTGTGAGCAGGGACAGTATGTACGGGCTTCTGCCATAAAACAAAAGCATCTTTAGCCCACTTCCTACCCCAAGGAACACCAATCTTCCTTATCCCCGTACTGGTAATTATGGAAACCATAGCCTATTCATTCAACCAATAGCCCTAGCTGTACGACTAACAGCCAACATGACTGCTGGACATCTCTTAATCCACTTAATCGGAGGAGCAACACTAACTGTAATAAATATTAGCCCTACTGCAGCCTTCATCACATTCATCATCCTTATTTTACTTTCCATTCTTTAATTCGCAGTAGCCCTGATCCAGGCCTACACATTTACCCTCTTAGTAAGCCTATACCTACATGATAACACCTAATGAGCTACCAAACCCACATGTATCTCATAGTTAACCCCAGTCCTTGACCACTTACAGGAGCCCTTTCAGCCCTCCTCATAACATCAGGGCTAGAGATGTGATTCCACTTTAATTCAACATTCTTATTATCCTTAGGATTATTAACTAATGTATCAACCATATACCAATGATGATATTATTCGAGAAAGCACATTCCAAGGCCATCATACACCAACTGTACAAAAAAGACTCCGATATGGTATAATCCTATTCATTATCGCAGAAGTCTTGTTTTCTGGGTTCTTCTGAGCCTTTTAGCACTTAGCTTAGCCCAACACCCAAACTAGGAGATTGCTGACCACCCACAGGCATTCACCCCCAAATCCCTTATGCATTATATATAAATGTATATATATCAATGTACATGTATATATGTCAATGTATATATCAATCTATATATAAATGTATATACAAACGTGTATATAAGTGCATATATAAATGTGTATATATAAATGTATATATGTATATATAAGTGTATATATATGTATATATATCAATGTTTCTATAAATGCATATATAAATGATATATAAATGTGTATATAAATATATATATCAGTGTATATGTCAATGTATATATATATGTATATATATAAATGTATCTATAAAGGTTATATAAATGTATATATAAAAATGTATATATATAAATGTATATACAAATGTATATATAAATGTATGTATATAAATGTATATATCAATGTGTGTATATAAATGTGTATATAAATGTATGTATAAGTGTGTATATATAAATATATATAAAGGTAAGATATATATAAATGTATATATACTGTGTATATATAAATGTATATCTAAATGTGTATATCTAAATGAGTATATATAAATGTGTACATTTAAATGTATACATAAATGTGTATAGATAAATTTATAGATAATGTATATATATGTACGTATAAATATATATATTTGGGAGACTGAAATTTTCCTCTTTAGCTTATATGTATTTCTTAATGTTTATATAATTAACATGTATTATTCCATTAGTGTGGATATATAGGAAAGATGAGCCTGGTGTCAATATGCGACATCTATTAGAGGGAGACCATTTAGGAGGATCATGCAACAAACCTATTAAATAATAATTTTTGAAAAGAATGTAAAAGGAAAATGGGTGAGATATGAGAAACTTCAAATATGAGAATGTGGAAGGGAAAAATAATCAGGAGTTGACAAGACAGGAGAAATTGAGGAAAGAAATGAATATAGTCAAGCGCAGTCAGTTCTGCTATAACACATTCTTAAAAAGCAAATTTGTTTCATTTTGATGGATATATTAGGAAATCATTTGAGCATGACACAAATTTCCCATTTGTTCCTGTGTGATTTCATCCTGGAGAAACACCAGGTTAGTGCAGGAAACCGCACCAGCTGAGCCGCGCTGCATAGGAATGCACAAAACACACACATGCACACCCTCAACATCTACCAGCATCTTCAGTTCATCGTGTGTGCTACAAGCCAGACCCATCCACAGCCGGCGTTACAACTTTCCAATCCATTGCAGATGACCCCCCCTCTATCACTTCAGAATAACTCACAAGCTGCAACCCTTCCAATGCCCACTTCCACAAGCAAGCTTCAGGTCTTTTTCAAGGTAACGTGCCATAATGTGTAAATCTGTGCTGCCGTTTTTATTAGGTTATCTTTTTTTATTTTTTTTTTCGGTGAGGAAGATCAGACCTGAGCTAACATCCGATGCCAATCCTCCTCTTTTTGCTGAGGAAGACTGGCCCTGACCTAACATCCGTGCCCACCTTCCTCTATTTTATATGCGACGCCGCCACAGCATGGCTTGACAAGGGGTGCGTTGGGGCGAACCCAGGATCTGAACCTGCGAACCCCGGGCCGCCGAAGTGGAGCGAGTGCACTTAACCGCTGCGCCACCGGGCCGGCTCCTTAGGTTATCTTTTTAACTGATTAAGTTTTTGAGTGTTGTGTCCCTAACCCCATTTTTACCATAAGCCCCCTGGGTTCCCCCCACCCCAAAGCCCCAGTAGGTAGTTGTACATCATAGTTGCACATCCTTCTAGTTGCTGTATGTGGGACGTGGCCTCAGCATGGCCTGAGAAGCGGTGCGTCGGTGCGCGCCTGGGATCCGAACCAGGGCCACCAGCATCGGAGCGCGCGCACTTAACTGCTAAGCCAGGGGGCCAGCTCCCCCTGGGTTTTTTTGTGATTTGGTATAGCATGGTGATGTAGGAACGGAAGCATCATGTTCTAGCAGAACTGACTGTACAAGGGTTTTAGGTGGGTTTCAGGTAGAAGAACAGTAGCATCATCAACAGAGCAGATAGTAGACATTTTGAGTTTGAAATGGAGTGGTAGTCCGAGTTAATATCCAGCAGGACCTAACATCTCTGGTGAGTGGAGAGTAATAAATATTCCCTGTGTATAGGAATTATCTGCCTCAAAGGATCCTGTGAGGCTCTGGAAATGGACGATCTCTCCAAGAGAGAGAACATACAGAGAAAAGAAGAGAGCCAAATCTGAGCTCTGGGAACTTTGATTTCAAGACTAGAGGAAGTATTAGTAAAGAACAAAGCAGCTGTGAAAGCCAATGAGAGAGAGATGTCAAGGACAGGAAGGGCTCATTCCTGGTAAGATGGAGTAAACACATGCAAACTTGTCTCTCCCACTGGACACAACCATAAAACCTGAACAGAAGTCATGGCACGGCTTTTTGGGGTCTCTGAAAAGTGAATATCACCAAGTGAATAAAAGAACACCAGACTTTGCAGCACCACCGATGGGTGGTGATATTGTTTTTCCTCTGGTAACCTCTGGTCTGAACTCAACACAGCCCAAAACCTGGAAGTGAGCACTAGTGGGCAGACAGAGAGAGACCCTGGAGAAACCCTCTGTTTCTGGCTCATAGAACAGAAAAGGGAACTCCTACAACTCGGAGAGAGTGGAGAAAATTATCTGTTTTTTCTCCCTCGCCCTTTACTTCATTCCCTTGTACCCCAGCCTCCAGTCAATCCTGTGGCAGGAACAGTGGCAGAAGCAAAAGTGCCTGGCTATAGAAAACTGCGGGAGCCAGAACTCCGAGGGAGAGCGATCTTCCTTCCCATTCAGTGGAGCTGCGACTCCAAGAAGGCCAAGACAAACTCCGTTGCTTTTTTTTCTATCTGTTTTCCCAGTGCTGTGGCACAACCACGCAAGTGGGCAGTTTCACCGGAAGTGGGAGGTTTCTGGTCAGAGAGAACTGAAAGGAGGATCCCAGGGAAGGAGAAAGTACTGGGAAGAAAGCGGAAAGGGTGGAGATCAGGGAAGCAACCCCATAAAGTTTTTTATGAACTCTTGGGCTTAACCCTGACCTGCACATCACAGATCTGATTCTAACTGGCACACCAAAGACTTTGAGAACGGTGCCTAATGGATAGCTTTCTGCCCAGTTCCCAGACTAACCACTGGGTGATGCACACATGAGACAGACCCAAATAAGACTGCAAAAGATTTGAAAACGTAGCTGACTTTGGAACATAGCCCACAGAAGGAGGCTTGGAACTTTGACCTATACCTAACTAGGGCAAGTCCTTGCTAAAATAAAAATATCGACATTCTCCATAGGATTTAAACAAGAATCAGAGTCCCATAACATTCAGAATGCAGTTACAGTAAAAAATTATGAGGCATATGAAGTATCCCCAAAATCTCAACTTGCATGGGAAGACCATTGACAGTCACTAGTAATGAGATGACACAGATGTTGGAATTATCTGACAAAGACATTAAAATACTTATTATAAAAATGCTCAGGGCTGGCCCCGTGGCTTAGCGGTTAAGTGTGCGCGCTCCGCTACTGGCGGCCCGGGTTCGGATCCCGGCGCGCATCATCGCACCGCTTCTCTGGCCATGCTGAGGCCGCGTCCCACATACAGCAACCAGAAGGATGTGCAACTATGACTATCTACTGGGGTTTCGAGGGAAAAAAAAAAAGAGGAGGATTGGCAATAGATGTTAGCTCAGAGCCGGTCTTCCTCAGCAAAAGGAGGAGGATTAGCACGGACGTTAGCTCAGGGCTGATCTTCCTCACACACAAGAAAAACAAAACTTCAATCATGAACTTTCTAGAAACAAAAGTTAAAATAAAAAGTATCAGCAAAAAATAGAACTTAAGAAGAATTAAACATTTTAGAATTGAAAAATATAATAACCAAAACGAAAAACTCACAGGATAGATCCAATAGCAGAATGGAGATGACAGAGGAAAGAGTTAGTGAACTTGATTCAATAGAAACAATTCAATCTGACCAACAGAGAGAAAAAGATAGGGGAAAAAAAGAAGAGAACCTCAGGAACCTGTGGGACAAGAGCAAAAAGTCTCACATTCTTGTCATCAGAGCCCCACAGGAAAAGAAAGTGCTGAAAATACATTTGAAGAAATAATGGCTGAAAATGTCCCACGTTTGGTGAAAAATGCAAACCAACAGATTCAAGAAGCTGAATAAATAGGATAAACCCAAAGACATCCTTGCCCAGACACATCAAAATCAAACCGCTGAAAACTCAAGACCAACTAAAAATTGTGACAGCAGCCAGAGAGAAACGACATGGAATCGTTCTAATGTCCGTAGGCTTCTCACCTGAAACCATGAAGGCTCGAGGAAGTGGCGTGACATTTTTCAAGTGCTGAAAGAATTGTAAACCCAGTATTCTATATTCAGTGAAAATATCCTTCAGGAATGAAAGTGAAATAAAGACATTCTCGGATAAAGGAAAACTAAGAAAATTTGCAAGCAGCAGACTTACTCTAAAAGAATTGCTGAAAATTTCTTCAGACAAAAGGGAAGTGATACCAGAAGGAAACTTGGACCATCAGGAATGAAAGAAGAGTAACAGAAATGGTAAATAGCTGGGTAAATAGACTGCTCTTCTCTTCTTGAGTTCCTTAAAATACGTTTGGTGGTTGAATGCAAAAAGTATAAAATTGTCTGATGGGGTTTCCAATGTACATAGGTGTATGACATAAGACACCTGTAGCATAAATGGTGGAGGGTGAGGAGACCCATATGGTGGTAAGGTTTCTACATGCCAAATGAAGTGATAAAATATTGGTTCTAAACAGACTGTGAAAAGTTGAATACATGTCATGTTTTGTAATCCCTAGGGTAACCAGTAAAAACAAAATAAAACAAAACAAACCAATAAAATAAATAATAGGTGATAATGGGAAAATCTCTGAACACTGGGCAATTAAACGCACTTCTAAATAATCCATGGGTCAAAGAGGATTCTCAAGAAAGGAAATTAGAAAATATTTTGAACTGAATGAAAATGGAAATACAAAATATCAAAACTTGTGAGATGCAGCTAAAGCAGTTCTTCAAGCAAAATGTATAGCATTATATGGTTATACTAGGAAATAATGGTCTTGAATCAATCATCTAAGCTTCCACCTTAAAAAACTAGTGTACTGTACACTTGAAATTTACTAAGAAAGTAGATCTTAAATGTTCCCACACACCCCCTCCTCCCAAAAAGTGAACTATGTGAGGCGATGGATGTGTTAACTAACTTTAACGTGGTAGTCATTTCACAATATATCATCATGCTGTATACCTTAAACTTACACAATATTACTTGTTAATTAGATCTCAATGATGCTGGAAAAAAACACTAGAGTAAACCAAATCAAGTAGAAGGAAAGAAATAATAAAATATGCGAGTAGAATTCAATGAAATGAGACACTTTCTAGCATATATCTTTTTTTTTAAAGCTGGTTGACAGCCACTGATTGATGTAATTGCCCATTAATGAGTTACAATCCAGTTTGAAAAACATTGATTTTTTTTTTTTTAATAATTTTATTTATTTATTTATTTTCCCCCCAAAGCCCCAGTAGATAGTTGTATGTCATAGCTGCACATCCTTCTAGTTGCTGTATGTGGGACGCGGCCTCAGCATGGCTAGAGAAGCAGCACGTGGATGCATGCCCGGGATCCGAACCCGGGCCGCCAGCATCGGAGCACACGCACTTAACCGCTAGGCCACGGGGCCGGCCCTGAAAAACATTGATTTTTATAACATAACTTCCAAAGAGAAATGTTCTGAAATCTCTTGCTAATTTATACGTTAATATTTGGGATATAACCAGCTAAAAAATTGAGTTTAAGGTCTCATTAAAGGATGTAACTAGACAAATCTGTCCTCCTTTGTGAACCCTTCCTGACTCCATCAAGCAGATCATCCCTCCCGCTTCTGTGTTCCCAAACAGTATTTCTTCAAACAGCCAATAAACATTTTTCAAGTTACTGAGGTGTGTAGCATACTGTTGGTCTCTCTCAAAATCGAGGTCTCTGAGGGCAGAGATGGTGCTGTCTTACTCTCTTTTCTAAATCAAGCTTTTCTTTATGTGGCTAGTATCTTATCCATAATACCTTACCACAGATATTTACCATATTTGAAATTTCAAAATTTTATTAAATTTTAATTCATTAATAAAGCAACAAACTCATCACATGTTAACAAAAATATCTTTTATGAAACTTACATTTTCCAAGTTAAAAAAAAACCAGAAAAATGACATTGTTTTACATTTTTGCAAATCTCTTTACTCTGACTTAATAGCAGATATTTAGTCTCATATCTATTTCTACATTCAATCTGTTGCAATATGGTGTTTAGATTGAAGTATATGAACAAAGTCCACTCATACACACAGATATATAGTTGGAAAAGGAGTATCTGAATAGCCTTTGCAGAAGTTGTGGATAGTCTTCTGTGATACTACACTAAAATTTGACAAATGGTAGTTTCTCACAGGCTAAAGAGTGTGGAATCTGCAACCCTATCAACACACTTTTTGTACTGTTACATCTTGTAACTTCAATGGATTGTTTATCTGCGCATGGTGACATCATAGTTGGTCATTTGGAAAACACTGGTTGAGTTATGCAGATCTCCCAATTGTTGACACACTTAATTAAACACTATCAAAAAGTGGTATTCATTAATATTATAACTTTGATTTCATTGGAAAGGACTGTAGATACTGGGAAACTGTCAAGCTCACTGTGGTAGATTAAAATTTTCACTTGAAAGCTCAAATTTTATCATTTGCAACAAACACGTAGTTGTTTTCCTTGAAGTGACAAATTCACTTCACTCATTTTTGAGAAAAAAGTATGACAGCCATTCAAGTAGGAATAACTACAGCTTATCAGTTGTTTGTTCAAGTAAAAATGGCATTCCATGAAAAGCAGCCTGTTTGGCCCACAGCTTACACTTCACAAATGCTTTTCAAGACAACTGAAAAGATATGCTTTATGCATACTCCCAGTTACACAAAATATTGAAAAGACAGATCAAGTATTGTGAATAAAATATAGAATTACTGATTCATCAAGGACATTTTTTGCAGTGAACGCATGGCAGTGAAGAACACAGTGACTACTAAGTACCACTGCCTTGACTTGTGCTAAGGCACCAGCAGATTTACCCATCATCGTTTGCACCAACAATGCAGATGGCAACACAGTGACAACATTATTAGGCAAGGACTTTTGAACTAGCAGACCCCTCCACAGACCACGTTAACTGCTGGTCCAGTGAAAGGAGTGTGCTCCAGGTCTATGTATCCAGTTGTCCAATAAGAGATGGGCCTCATTAGGATTCTCAGAGCCTAAAATTTATTCATTTAAATCACAGAGCCTCCTCAGCTGATTCCATGCTCACTAAGCAACCCTTTTTTTTTCCTGAGGAAGATTAGCCCTGAGCTAACATCTGTTGCCAATCTTCCTCTTTTTGTATGTCAGCTGCCACCACCGCATGGCCACTGACAGATGAGTGGTGGTCCACACCCAGGAATTGAACCTGGGCCGCTGAAGCGGAGTGTGCTGAACTGAACCACTAGGCCACCACGGCTGGCCCACGAAGCAACTTTTTGATAAATAAAAGCCATCTAGCTAAACTTCAGGGAGAAGATGCCAAGTGGCTAGGCTGATGCAACTGTTTCGTCTGCTTCAGTTACATTTCTCAATGTAAATTAATAAATTGTTATTATGCTTTTTATTAAACAGTCTTGATGAGCTTTGTTGAGTCAGCAGGCCTGAATCCAATCAATTTTGGGACACTGATGAGATAGTATCTGAAAGTAAATGCTATCTTATGAAAACCCTCGATGCAGTTTTTGTTCCCTATGACACCTTTGAAATTGTCTACATAGGGATGACACTTTGTGACAATTTCAAATATAAAATCAGAGATTTTTGGAGCCTAAAACAAAAACATGTAAAATGTTAAAAATAACATCCCCAAATATATTTTCTCCAGTAAGTATTAAAATATTATTTCCTAAGTTCTTGAGAAGAGATGACTATTCTACTCTGTACAATTTCTTTAGTTGCAGTGGGGTGCTTTGAACACTGAACACAAATTCTTTATAAAGTGAGATTGAATTATGTGCAGGTACAGAGAACCAACTTGTTCAACACTTCACCTCCTTTCTACCTTGTCTTCCTGAATTGTAGAGGCTGGAAAGCTATAAAACTGCATTTCCCGAATACCTCTACAGTTGAGTTTTAGATGTCATTTAGGTTCTTTCCACTAAAGTGGGCCTTCAATTTGGAGCTGCCTCACGTGGGAAGGGAAGAAGGTGTGCTTGCCTGGAAAGTGGCAGAGGTGGATAGCCCTGGGGCTGGCAGCCTCATTCAGCAGTCTCCTGATCCCAGCACTGGCAACAGCAACTTGACGGTCCAGATCTGCAGTGTAGTTTGGGGATGTGTGTCTGAAAGATCAGGCAATTATTCTGTGAGCTATCTATATACCTTAATAAACTCTTTGGGTTTAACACTACGCCGAGTGGATTTTGTTGCTTGTAGTCAAGAACTGACCAACTCACATTTTAATAACATCTCCTTTAACGTAATCATGTTTCTGGTTTCTCTAGTTGTATAGCAATATTTTCTTCCTTAATTATTTTTCTAAGTCAAGACAATGTCTCTTGTATATAGTTAAATGCTACTTAAAAAATCAAACTACTGTGGCACTGTTTTAGGATACATCTATATTTTATTACAAAACCATTCTTTTGGCATTAGTTGGTTACAGTGACTGCAAGATACTGTGAGCGTGGCACAGCAGCTCTAATGTAACAATGGCCTTCCCTACTTCCTGAACTGAAACTAAGTTACCTCATATCCATTACATACAAGTTATCTGCAATCATTAATGCTGCAAATTCTGACGCATATACCGTTTCGGGAGGAGTTGATGCTAAGGGATTAGATAAATGTTGACAACACTACAAAACTTCCTTTATGGGACTTTCTGTTTCTTCTCCCACCCCCGAATTACTTTGCTGTAAAACAATCATATTACTTAGAGCTAGTCTGAATAGCAGCAGCACCCAAGGAGCATCATACCTAGTTCTTGTTAAAAAGCGATACCTGTGCAATGCACATTTTACACCACAGGCAAAGGGAATGATCGCTTTAGTTTTAAACTGCTGCATTAGAGTCTCTTAAAAAAATAAAAGCATTCCATCAAGTTCTTCTAGATGGTGTTATTGCTGTACATTTGCTGGTGGGTCATTTTCTGTACTGTGTTTGCTTTGAAGGGATCTTCCAATGTATCTCCAATATTCCTTTCTTATAGTGTCCTTTTCTTTAGCTAGGATTTCACATAACTGAAAATAAAAAACAAAACTTCATTAAAGAAAACGTGTAAGTCAATCTCTAGGGCAAATGCTTTTGAGCCAATACAGTTTAACTCAGATCACATTCAAATGAGATACACCACCAGTCACATACCATGTTCACCAGTGTCATGGGTGTTGCCCTAAACAGCAGAAATCACCCTGCACTGAATTCTGAGTAACCATGTTGAAAAGGGGCATGAATATTAGTGGCACTGGGCAGACCCAATTCTGAGATACCAAAAAGATAAGCACTGAGTCCCACCAGCTCACCTCTAATGCTTTATTAAGAATGTCCTCCTTGTTCTCACATTGGTTTTCTAGCATGTCTTCATAGATATCCACAAGAAAGGCAATTAGGTAGGGGGAACTGTGACTTGGTTGTAAATCAAGTAATTGATTTAACAGATTGGGATATTTGGAAAGACCACGATCCTGCAAAATCCTAAAAAAAAAAATTATTCTCAATTTTGAGAAGGAAGAAAAAAATAGAAAGATCAAGAGAAAACGACCCCTGTAACATAAGCAAGAAAAGGAGACTTATTTTGAATGAAAGAGGTTGAAACTAAATGAAATTTCTAAATTATATCTGAGCTTTATCATGGATAATTAAGGGCTGAGTAAAATTAATTAAAAATAATGAAGTTTATAACTCAAACTGTGCAACACACAAAATTAAAGCAGAAAATAAACTATCTTCTTAAAATTAAAATGAAAGAAAAAAACAGGAAAGATGCTCGTGAGATGGTTCCTTATCTCTTTAGCTCTCCAAATAATTATAGGCCCCAACCATGGACACATCTCCAAATGTGACTGGGCTCCACACTTTTGTGCTTTTTGGGCTTAGTTTCCTTGCAGATCTCTAAGTTCAACAAGGAGCCTGGTTATGTCAGTGGCCAAGGAAGTGAAACCTTGTCGATTCAAGGAGTGAGACTTGTAACAGGAGATCTCCAGAAATGAAAACAGAAAGGTTGGCTATGCATCTGTGCACCCTGTTTGTCAATAGTCTGTCTTGTCTTACTGTGTTCCTGAGCTGAACAGAAACTGAGCATGTGTATTCCATTCTTTGACAGAAAGACTACAGGATTCATAAATACAATTAAAATTGTATTACTGTTTACTCATGGATTATTCTAAAAACTGTGCTGGTTTGTGCTCCAGAGGGAAAGAGAGGGGGAGATGGCACTGTTCTTGAGTGTTACCAAGCCACTGTTCCTTCTGCTCTCAGATCCAGAAAAATGATAAATTCTTTGGTATCCTTTTGGAATCTGATTGTGGAACCTATTCCATGATGCACCATATTAGCAGGTTGTTTTTTATGTAAAACAAGCAAAAACAGCCTCTTACCCTTTCAAATAGTTCCATGCACTTTCATTATGTGGCACCACTTTGATCATTTCCAGAGTATACCTGTAAGAAAAAGACCACAAATAAATATGTGTATAATTTTAAAAGAGCAATGCAATAACTAGAAAAGTTTTAACAAGATCATGGCACAGCTTGGGTATAAGCTTTCACTTATCTTACTGGATTTTGGTACCTCTCTAGGTCATATCTAAATTAGAGAATCCCTCGAGTCTGCAGCTGTCAATTACATAGTTCCTCCCTCCTGTATATTTGTATCCAATTCTGGAGAAGGACACTTAACTAATGCGAAAGCTCAACTCACAATAGGAGAAGAAACTAATGTGGGAGATTTTCTTTAATTTAGGCTTTCCCTCTGAAGGAAATGTTGTAAGTGAGCGTAAGTGAGGCCATCTTGTTACACTAAATGGCCGCAGCCCCTCCTCCGCGTGACTACTCGCTGTGCAGCACGTACTCTGAAAACTTCACATGCTCTCCTGATTTATGGCCTCCGCTTACCTATGTACTCCCCAACAGCTTGATAAATTAAAAACTTTGTTCTATGAGTTTCTCTCCAGGAACAGGCTGACCACAGGTGGGAAACACACCTACAAGGTATCCATCACAGCTGACAGAAGAATGGAACAATGTAACGCCTGCAGCCCGTCATGCCTGGAGACCAACAGCCCTGGACCCCCTCCTTACTGCCCATTTTCCCTATATAACTGCCTCAACATTCTGTAATCTTTGAAGATGGGTTTTTGAGACATTAGTCACCTGTCTTCTGATTTGCCGGCTAATCTAATTAAACTTTTTTTCCTCGATCTCTAACTCTTTGTGATTAATTGGCTCAGATCTTGGCAAGCAGAGTGAGCTCATTGCTCGGTATCAATGTCAGCTAAAACAAGGAGATTTTCCTTTTATTAGTAAAGCAATCTTGGAGAAAAAGTCTAAGATCTACTAATGCCAGACAGATCCTTAGTCATTGAAAAAGACCTACACAGCCTTAGGAGCTAAAATAGAAAATAGCATGGAAATTATATAGGCAAAGAATAAAAGTAAGAAACCAACACAAATGTACATTTCTTAATTCCAAAACAAGATCACTAGTAAACGATGTGATTCCCCGTCAAATAGACACTCCTCACCTTTCTCTTCCTCTTACCCAGATTACTAAATACAATTGAGATCCAATTACAACAGATTCCAAGGCAGTTACAGAACTCTGCTTCACTATACACTTGCTCAAATGAGTAAGTCACTGACTAAAGTTTAGTAATCTTGGTTTTGTCACAGTGCTGTTACCACAGCATTTTTTTCTCAGAGAATAATAATAAACTCATTCGGCATTAGGAAAAGGTTTTTCTAACTACTTTTACATGACCTACGGTTTTCAGTTATTTCTAAAACCATGTCCCTGCAGGTCTTAACTAGTCCTTGCAGAAGATTCTTAATTTCATTTTGGCAATACCTAAAACATTTTATTTATATACATGTGCACTAAAGCATTATCTATTCTAATAATTAAAACATGGACTTTGAGATCAGGCTTCAAATTCCACCCTATCAGTTATTATCTATGTGCTCTTAGGCACATTACAGAACTACTCTGAACCTCAAGTTCTTCATCAGGTATCTCACAGTTGTGTTACAAGAATTAAATAAGAATTCTCGGGAGCCAGCCCTGATTGTCTAGTGGTTCAAGTTCCCTGCTCTCCACCTCTGTGGCTCAGGTTCATTTCCCAGTCACGGAACCACACCACCCGTCTGTCGGCTGCCATGCTGTGGTGGTGGCTCACAGAGAACTAGAAGGACTTACAACTAGGATGTATAACCATGCACTGGGGCTTTGGGGAGAAGAAAAAAAATTCTCAGCATACAGTAAATGCTTGATAAATAGTAACGACTATTGGGGCCGGCTCCGTGGCTTAGCGGTTAAGTGCGTGCGCTCTGATGCTGGCGGCCCGGGTTCGGATCCCGGGAGCGCCCCGAGGCACCACTTCTCCGTCCAACGCGAGGCCGAGTCCCACGTACAGCAACTAGAAGGATGTGAACCTATGACATACA